GAGGTGGTGGAAAACAGCCAAAGCCTCTGAAACATCTTTCACATAGGGACATACCTATAGTATACTGCTCACATCATTGTTTTAGTAAGAACAGTTACTCAGGAAGCATTTAACCTTTATTAGCCTAAAGTATTGGCCATTATTGAATACAAATGTACAGCCTCTCCCCCTCTCTAAAACCTTTAATCAGACATGTCACTGATTTGAATTAAATTCTAAACTTTTATTATCTCCAGTTAGCAGTCAGCTTGCTAAAATCAATGCTAAGACTGCATGTTTGTTTGATAAATAGCAAAAAAGTCTTTCTGAGCATATATCTTGTAAAGTTTTAAAACTGTTACAAAAGCACTTTTCCAGGGATCAAAATTATTTAAGATCAGTAATCAGTACACCTTACTCTTTCCTATTTGGAGAAGCAAGCCAAAACACTCAAATAAGTACCCTAAGGTTTAGGCACAGAGTTATAATTCTTAGCAAGCCACCTTTGTGAATCTGATTTTTTCCTCATGACCTTGAGGACACAGCCATTTTCATTAAAGAAAAGTATGCTTCAAGCTGGCAACAAGCTGACAACCTGTATCTTCTCAGCATCCCCTGAAGTAACATTTGTAAAACCACCTTGCGGGATAAATAGATCGATTGTTGACTTCATGCTTTTTAGAGACATAGCTCTGTATTCATTTCTACTCAGAAGCTGACCACTTGGACATACTAAAGACTACAGATTCCCCAGACTTGTCTCCTTCCAAACAGCAACCAAAGTGTGAATGTGGGGAAAAATAAAACAAAAGTTATAAATGTAAGATATTGTTAAAGGATGCCAAGGAAATTTCTTTTTCAGATCAAGTGGGAAGTGAATATGAGAGAAAAGTATATTGAGCTAAAGTGTTATTCCCATTTTCACTAAAAACTTACAAATTCATGATCAATATCAAAATGGTTCTAGTATTCTATCAGCACTATTTATACATGAGTCTAAATCTGTTTATTTTTGTAAATTTTCACTGCAAAGGTAACTCATTCTGGCTTCTCTTTAGGTTTGCAATTTTGGATCTCCTGCACACATTAGCAGGCAACTAATTTACAGCACTTGACACCTTCCAAAGCAGCATGTGGCTAGGCAACATACAAGCTTTAACTAAATCAGTATTACAAGAACTTTCTGTTCTCAACTCAGTCTTTGGAAAAACCTGTATGCTCAACAATTTTGATGCTTAGTCACGTAAAATTGCTCTTTCAAGTGCTAAGATCCGAAACAGTTGTCTCTCCAAGAAAATTAGCAAGAAGAAAAAGTAGCAGCTAAACACAACGTGTGCGTAGTGACTTCCTGCAATGGTTTGGCAGGCCAGTTTGTTTATCCCGATTCAAATACCAAGTACTATATTAACACACAAAGGCAGTAAGCTCACTTTATTTTCAGACACAATCCTCTAGGATCTCATCACAAAAATCAGCAACCTTATGTGACTAAGCACCCAAAATGCTAAAAAACATACTTGCACAGATGTTAACTTCCAATGCAAAGTATCTACAATTGTTACAAGACTACACAGAAAAGACTTAAGATGGATTTGGAATGGCTGCTGCACTTGTTTTCAAGTAGTACTGAATATCAAAGAGCAAAACACAAACTGTAGTAAAGAGTTTGCATTTTTATACTGCCTTTCAGGCATGGTCATATCTTATTTTGTCAGCAGCAGTTGAAGGAGTCACTAGCTGCACTCTCCCTTTTAATCTACTCCCACCCTCATCATCATGACTCACTGTTCACACCCCCAGTCTTACCACAGATTACTTGCTTCCACCCAATACTAAGAATACACTTATTTTAAAGGGTCAAGAAAGGACCAAGGATCTCTTAACTGTTTCACAGATGCAGTTTATTGAACAGCCATGGAAGCATCTGAAGAGGCTCAACAAGGGAGATGGTGATTTCTGGCAATAAAGTAGAAATAAAACACTGGAATATGCAGCTTCAGGCTGGATCTGCTGCAGATAGAAGAATAAAGCATAAGTACAGACTTAACCTTTAAAGAGCCTTGTGCATCTTAGCACCTACTAAAAGACTGCATTAAATTTAATTTGTAAGTACAGCTTCTCTCCCCAACAATAAAGCTTAACATCATCCAGGGTAACATAGGTATCATAGGTTCTTAAAACCACTTGAACACCATCTATGATTTCAGAGCAGCAGGACAAGTAGTCAAGCTAAGTTTCAACTTATTCAACTACACTGTCAGGAGCCACATAACCTGCTGTAGGTGAACTGCTCTGGCAGGGGGGTTGGACTAGATGATCTCCAGAGGTCCCTTCCAACCCCTACCATTGTGTGATTCTGTGAACAACAACTCCAAATTTGAGACGAATACTGGCACCTAACCTGCAAGGACACAGGAGCCCTGAAAAATCAACACAAGCAGGAATAGCTCTCTAAAGATCCAAACTGTTGCCTGCTGAGGCAAGGCAGAAATAAGCAGAACAAGACTGCACTGACAGGCCTGTCCTTGTCTTCTGGATAATGTTCATCATAGAGCAATACTACTTTGACTTCATTAGCCTAAAGATAACAGGTGCTGTTTGAAATATGTACCCTTAACTTCGGATGCATTTAACTGTTTACGCAACCCTTGAATCCCCCTGAACCGTTCTTTGGGATGGTTCATGCAGAACATATTCATGTCCATTTCAAGGACTAGTCTTTTCTGAAGTGATGAGAAAATAAATGCATGTATTATTGAAGTATGTAACAAATAACGTAGAGGGACACGTGAAAGAGAAGAATACTTCAGTTTCTTTGAATCAAAATATTTTGTTACTGACCTTACTGACCAGAATTCAGAATTACCACAGAATTATCTGTAGTAGAATCATTAAGCAGGGAACAGTGGCTTGACAATACAATGCTAGGATGGATAACTGCAATCTTACCCATTCTTGGAGAAAAACAGGACAATTTCATGCCTAATAATCTTAATCTCCTTGCTTAAAAATCTATCAGTAACTTAAAATAACTGGATAAATATTTTTTGTGGGGGTTTTTTGGTTTGGTTTTTTTTTTTGACAGAAAAATATGAAGTGGTACGTATCTGCTTCAGTTAAGTGAACAGTAATGTACACTATATAATAAAACACACCTTGACACTATGTAATGAAAAATACTGAACTGACAGACTTGTGAAAAGCGCTAGTTCAACCAGCTTCTGCTGAACAGGAATTTTGCTGTTGATATGGAAAGGTAAAGTACCATTAAGGTCCTCCTGAAATGACTGAATCCGCTTAAATAGAGAACTCAGGCTAGTCATGAACTTCCCTACAAGGTTCATTATCAGGAAATTTTAATTGCCTTCCCAAAACTGTGGAATTCAGCCAGAGGACAAAACTGTTTCAGTAAGACAGCAGCTTACTTCATTAAGTATATAAAGGATTTCAACAGCTGAATCTTTATCCTTCGTCAACCTCTATTTCACCTTCTTTCCCCGCTGAAGGATGCTGTATCACTGTTCGATGAGCCTCCACCATTGTTAGCCTTTCCTTGCTCACAACTAAGAGCAAAGAACAGTGTCAGAAGTTTTCCTTGGCTGACATTAGTCCGGATTTACCATCAATTTTTATGGTGCTAGGAGGAAGGGTGCATTTGATCAGTACAAAACATTTCAAAAGAAATCCCTTGTACTTCAACAGCTTCTCTTTCTAAAATCTAATTTTTTTAAAAGGTGAAATAAGCAGTAAATAATTATGAGATATTAGTAGAGGTGTTAGATATTCCTACTCCTAGCAAGTAGATGAAACATGCCTTTTCCTTGCAATACTTTTCACTTTAAAACACATGTTAAAGAAACTCCATGCCACGAGTCTGAGATTACCTTGTGTTAAGGTCTCAGTACTTTAGAAGGTGCATGGGACCTTCAGGTTCATTCCTACTGTTATTGTAGGATGTTGGAGCATTCCTAACTCCTCCTGATTTGAACAGCTATCACATTTAGATGACCTACACTCAGTATATCTATCTTAATGTATGTACTATATTGAGTAATTTGGAAAGTTTGGTTCTCTTCATATCATTATCATCTTTGTTGCATTACTGGTCACTGGAACAGGCTCCCCAGAGAAGTGGTCACAGCACCAAGCCTGTCAGAGTTCAAAGAGCATCTGGACAAGGCTCTTAGTCACATGGTTTAGTTTTAGGTACTCCTGCAAGGAGAAGGGAGCTGGGCTCCATGGTCCTTATGGGTCCCTTCCAACTTGAGGTATTCTATGACTTCTATGACTTTGCAGTCACAAAGGCTGCTAAAGCCATGCAGACAATCATTAAGCAGGAAAAAAAAACCTATACAGAAAAGGATACAACACAACAACATAAGCAATGATGGAAACACACTACCGATATTGTCTTTAAACTATGCCTGCTCAAGAAGAATGCTCTTTAAAAACCAGAGCTTTTAGGTAGATTTTTAGTTCTTTGCTTTATTACTTTGAGGGTGGCAGAACACTGGAACAGGCTGCTCAGGGAGGCTGTGGAGTCTCCTTCTCTGGAGATATTCAAAACCTGCCTGGACACAGACCTGGGCAACCTGCTGTAAGTGAACCTGCTTTAGCAGGGGGCTTGGACTAGATGAACTCCAAAGGTGCCTTCCAACCCCTACCATTCTGTGATGCTGTAAAGGAATGAACAGTAACACTATAGAATAAACTATTTCCAGGCATACCCATTAGGGGAAGAAATCACCTGAAAGAGAACTGTATTATATCAAATCAATTATTGATTCCCAGACACAAATAGGTTCCTTTAAAGTGCCCAGGTTTTTTTTCCTCTCAGATAGTACAAGAGCACTCAAAGACTTCAAGCAAAAGTATAGTAAACACAAAATTATATTTATTTCAAAATTGTACAAAGTACAGAGATATAATTACACTGAAGTAAACCCTGCTCTAAGTATTCGAATACTTAAGCAATGATACTGCCATCAAAAAATGCCTTTATTATTTCTCATTACAAAATCTTATCTTATGGACCGATACATCATGAAATCAATTGTTGTACATCTAGGAAATTTACCAATAGAGCTCTCTTCCACTGGGGTGTACACTTTGATTTGTCTCATGTGAGTGTCTCTTCCATTTTGATGATTAGCTAGAACAGCAATCTGAATCATAAACGTGCGAATAGGCTTCTTATGAGTATCTGTTAAAGGAACATGAATCCAGCCGCTTGGTTCCACTAATTCAAGTTGCTGCCAAAGACAAAAAAGCAACATGTTCAGAAACAGTTAAAGTACTTAATATAAATGATCACATATTAAACCTGTTTAATACAGCAGTCTTGCAAATCAGATTTTAGTTACTTTTTCAAATTAATTTGAAATAGCATGGTTGAATAGTCACAGCTAATTAGTAAATTAGCTGGTATAAGCTATAAGTATAATTAGCTGGTATAACCGGATACAAATTAATTTAGTAGACTACAGTTGTGTTTGCTTTTGTCTTTCAGAATCTACCCTTCATTTTGTGCCTTAACATTAAAATAAAAATCAATACTAAAAAATATAGACTGGAGTAAATTCCAGAAAGTCAAAACTACTTGGATCTTGTTACTGAAGTACGCTGCACAAAGATGACCAAAAATTATGTACCTTAAATTGTTTTATCTAGGCACTCTGGACTAAAATATGCTAGAATGACTTATGTAGGAAACTAAAGCCACACAAAGTCTGAGTTTTCAGAAATTCCTTAAGTTATTAGGGCGACTGGGGAAGAGGAAGAAGGTGACAGAGGAAAAAAATACAGGATAATTCACAATCTTCATATTACCTATGTGTCAAGACAGATGCTTGGGCAATTAATAATTGTTGCACAGCCATTTAAGCACATTCTAAGGTCCATTTTGACTCGGCTTTTATACAACAAACCACATGTAATATGATTTTTTTTTTAATCCTACAGAAACCAATGTCAAAGCAAGCAAAGAATTGTATTTCATCAACTCTAAACCACAACACTGACACGTCAGCATGCTGAAATCAAGCTAGATGCTATGCAGAAGTGTAGTAACAGCTTTTGTTTAAAGCTAGTTGCTCAACTTCAAAGCACAGTTGAAAACACATATGGAAGTGCACACGAGTAAGCAGAAGTCTTGAGGGGTGGGGGACAAAACCCAAAATAGTTGTCCATAAGCAAGTGGATTTCACACAGCTAACCAAGTAAGACTGCTGTTCTTAGCAGCCAAGTTCCTCTAAGGAAAATCTACGCTTTGAGCAGCTCAAAATTCCCATCATTCTCCTGAAAATACATTGTGACAAACATCCTGTCAAATGCCTTGCCTTTACTGAAGCTTTCAAAAGACCTATCCAAGACCTACTTCATCAGAGGCAGCAAACACCCTGAGGGAATGACCCAGAAAAAAGTTTGAGGACTCCTTTAAACTTAAAAGGTCAAAAGCCCTCTCACACCTCCACCTTAAAAAAAAAAGGAAAAAAATCCACAACCCAAAACTCTCCACTGCTGCATGCTCGCCAACAAATAATTTCCAAAGCATTAAATCCACTAAACCTTAGCAGCAAGTCTTTTCACTCTGGGAGCTAGACACTTCCACAAACACACATTCACTTATTTGTTGTAACCCTGTCCCTTTCAAAAAAATCTACAATTTTTTTTTTTGCATAAGAAATTTAAGGTAATGGTTGGCTTTACAAAGTGACAGAAGTGATGTGCTATTGGAGGAGCTTTACAAAGGGGAAATGTATCATGGTGAGGTAGTAGTCAACTGAGTGAGTACACTTTTCATCTCCACAGTGAACAGGAAGGATGAGGATTCCAGTAATATTTTATTCAACTCTTACCATGGTAAAGTGGCTATGATTTAGAAGAGAATTAAAAGGTTCTGGCTAATTAAACTTGCATTTTAATGTTATTCTGACTGTTTACAAGTTTTGACTGCTGATTCAAAGTCAAAAATTTAAGTTCCAGAGCTATGATAGTAGGATTTTTAGGCTTGGATCAGTATGAAACAGATTAGTTCATACAGTTAAAAAAAATGTACCACTTCCTACAGGTTGACATCATTGGTTTCAGACAGATCCAATATAATTCAGGTTTGCATGCTTCATTGGGAAAGACATTGCAAAGGGTGAAATGATTCCACCTCCAGAACCAAGCCAGCTACCAAGGGATGGGCAAAATTGGACTATTTGTACAAAAGTTCTTAAATTCAGAGAAAAATCACATCTTTCATTTTAAGAGAATTATTAGGGTCATAAAGGTAAGCATTGCAGAGTTAGGAGTTGCAAAGGTAATTTTACTGATTTAATAATATACTTGTATCTCATCACAAACTTTTGATTACATATTTATCAATGCTTTGGTTTATCCCTGATCCATGGGAGGTGGTCATATGCTTTATTTATAGCATATTATTTTTCAGTCCTGCTACAAAGGCAACCAATTTCTTCATGAGCCTTTCTACAGAGATGGGACAAGTAATTTCTGCATCTGTAAAATAGGCAACTGAGGCATTAGGTTAATTGCATTAAAATATTCCCTAGTTCCAGATGTCAAATTTCACATACTTTGAACCTGATTTTTACTATCCTTAGTAACATACAGTATTTTACATGAGGTTTAGCTCCCATTGAGTTCACTTGCAGCCGTAAGAGTCTGTATTTCTGCGAATTACTAAGAATTCTCAAACGAGCCACTAGAACACACAGTATGAGCAGCCACCTAGGAACAGTTATTTGAGTGCGGCATGTAAAAACACCATGACTAAGCACAGATTGCACACAATTCAGCAAACAGCATTCAACTGTCTTAGCCACAAAGCTTTTTCTTATTCCTGAAATCTCTGCTTCACTTACTCCACATGTTCCAATCTCTAACAGATGAATACACAGCCTTTACTGCACAAATCCTGGACTCATCCTCAGAATAGACCTGTTTCCCCATTCCAATCAAATAGATGCCTCCTGGACAAAGCATGCAACACTTCTGACGAAGTTGGTGGCTGTACTGCAACGTATTAAGGGCAAGAGGTGTGAGTGAGACTTAAGCATTTGAAAAAATGAGCTCTTGACTTTTGCCCTCTAAATAGCACTGTACTGTGACATTTTTGAGTTTAACTTCTTTAAAATTGATGCCCACATGGCTCAGTAAAATAATAAAACCTTGATATCCACTCAACTACAGCAGTTCAAATACAACAAAACCTAACAATTATTATCTGAACATCCACTAGCAAACAAAGTCATATTTTGCCAGTGGAATACACACATTTTCAGTGACCAAAGGAATGGTACAAACCAGACATGCACACACTCCTAAATTCTTCTCTTCCACATCTCTCATGCTCTTTCAGATGAGACTGTTTCTTTTTCCCCGAGGGCCCACGTCTTTCCCCAGGGAGCAGGAATAGGACATGGGAATAGGCAGTGGTGGTACAAGACAAAATGCTGCCCACTCTTAGTTCTATGTCAGCACTCAGATCCAGCCGTTACAATTCCTAGCAGAAGTGGGATGAAATATGCTGCTCTACTCTGCCTGGAGCATTCCCAGTGTGAACAGAATCTAAAGGAAACTTACTGTGAAGTTTTAAGAAATTCCTATTAAGCCCATGCAAATGGCAATTTTTCAAAGCCTTGTAAACCGTTCTGGAAATTTGGGTGGATTTTTACGGGGAGGCAAAAGGCACATCCTCTACACAAAGGCTGAACTATTGCCAAACTTCAAATCCTTGCTTCAGAGCTTGGGGGCACTGGAGCATCAAAGAAGGACACCAGAATATTCTCACACAAGCTAAATAGCATACTTCTCACTAGCCTTATTCTTGGAACCACTTTGGCTGAAACTTTCAAAAAATTCAACCCAAAGCAGACATCTGGCACAGAAAAATCTGTCTGAACAGAACTCTGGCAAAAGTTAAAGTAACTAAGAGTTAAGCCTTAAAATGGTGAGGGTCACACAACCTTCAGTACAGGTGGCACTAGTAGCTGTACCTATAGTAGATACTATACTTCAAATCCATTTCAGTTGACTCTGCTGTTAACCCTGATCTTTAAAAGCACTAGCCACTCTATATACATACATATACACGTTTCACCCCAACTCTACAGCATAAGTCCACTATGAGAAGATACCAGATTAAGTTTCCTCCTATGTAGGTCAGTAAGAATCAGTCACAACTAACTGGCTTCCAGGAAAGTTTTAAAAATCAGCTATATGATTAATTACTTGAGTGAAATTAAAAATTGGAAGTTTTTCTGTTATGTGTTTTACCAGAAAAGGTTAAAAAAAGGGAAACAAAGGGAAGAATCAATGCAAGTTCAATATTAATAACTCAGGATAGTTCTGGTGGCTCTAGACTAGTCTTACATACAACATACTAAAAGCCTATGGTTTTGGGGTGTTTTTTTAAATTTGCTATCATATATAATAACTATATATTATAATACTATCAATTTTATTACAATTGGTAAACAAGAGGATGAAAGTCAAAGGAACAAAGGAATAAAAATTAAAATTGAAAAAAATCACTCACTTGTCCTTTGCTGCTGCTGTATACTCTTATCTATCTCTTCTCCCGCTTTCTCTCCATTGCTGTCCGCTGCGTGCTACAGCTTTACCTATGAACATATACTCCCACTCCAGTAATCCATGTTATTTTGAAAGCCAGAGCAGAAGTAACATTCTCAATAGAAATGAGAGAATAGAAATCCTCCTCAGCCAATTTAATATCCCTTTTTCTTCATTTTATTGTATAGTCCAGAGGTTCTACAGAATTCTGTACACATTTGGCAAGGCAACTAATGGGTGTTCTATCAAAGACGATGCAAGCCACAAAAATTTAAAAAAAAATAAAAAAATCAAAGCCAAAGTAACTTGGGGCTGTACTTCAGAAAGATGACTGAACACAAGACCAGAGCTTTTGGAGGAAGCTTGTTCTACATTGGTATTGATCGCTTCCTTATAGGACAGGAAGTTATCTACCCAAAGAAGTATTTTTTATTGCACTTAATCCTACTTAAATTGAATATTGACCTCTTTTCCATGCTCAGTGATATCCTGCTTAGAGTCTGTGATGTCTTCAAAGTGGCATATAATTCAAATTGCTGCTTCTACTAGACTTATAAATACCCAACCAAGCTGCTATATTTACAGTAGGCTAACACCCTTGAAACAACACATGATTTTTGTTGCCCTGTGAAGATACCTTTTGTGAAGACACAGAAAGGAAAACCACCAC